AACTGGACAGCAAGTTGATTTGCACTCCCTATGTGTCTACAAAAGGACAACTGGCCGATGTACTTACTAAAGGGCTCAATAGTACAGACTTTCGGAGAATTATAGCCAAGCTGGGAATGGAGGATCTCTATTCACCAACTTGAGGGGGAGTGTTGGAAAACGTGGGGTTACTGGTTCAGATCTGAAAATAGAATTGTATATATTCCTAGGATTGTGGAAGATTGATTTAGAAAGTTTTTCTTTCTATTTCTTTCTCTCTTTTTTTGTACTTTCTATTTTCTCTTCTTTCTATTTATTGCAGCAGCTTACTGTATAAATATGCCAATAGGCAATAGAATGAAATATATCAGTATTCTACCATTCCAAAACAGATAGGCATCAACTTGCATGGAATCATCTACTTCTTTTCAATTTTGTACCTTCTTCCCATTGACTACCAAGTTATTTAGCGTAACCTTTTACTTTTTTTGCTCGGAATTAGTCAACTCCATATATAGATCATCATGAAGTTTTGTGGGATGTACTTTTCTTGAAAACACTTCTTCATCTCTGCCCATGTACTAATTGGATCATCGCCTCTTTTTTCTAGTCATTGCTCAAGTGTTCTCCACCATACAATAGCATGACCCATCAACTTCATGTGCGCAAATCTAATCCTTTGTTTGTCAAACATAACATGCCAATCAAAATATTCTTCTAGTTCAGCAATCCAATCAAAGAATGCACGTGGATCATCTCCTTTGAAATCTGGCATTTCCCATTCTCTTCTAACATGTTTGAAAACCTTACTCCCGTAGCTAACATTATTAGATCTGTTTTCTTCCAACATCTTCTCAAATAAGTCAACCAAAGACCCTTCATATGGTTCAAAAACCCAATCATCATTGATTTTCAACTTGTAAACTTGCTTAGAAGATACCTAGGCCTATAGAATCGGTCACGTTGTGAAAACATAGTGAATAAACCATTAGCTCTGATACCAACTAATATAGGACCAGCTCAGTTCTAGTCCTTAGAGAATGTTTGGTCTTCTTCAACAGAATTTTATGGCTGTTGATGGCTGAATGGCTTCTTGAAGGAACAAGAGAGAAAATACTTAAGAATCACTCACAGGGTGCCTAGAATCACTCTAGTCATTGCTCAACAGAATTTTATAGACTCTAAACTCATAATAATCCTAGGAGTCAAACAGTTAGACTCATGATAGTCTTAGGAGTCAAACTATTAGACTTAATAATCCTAGTAGAACTCAAACTAAGCTGTCATATCATATTTCAATTCAAAGAATACTCAATAACTCTAATCCTACTTACGCAATGACTCTGAAATTTTAAACATAAACAAACTATAACTACACAAATTAAACCCTATCAATGGACCCCACAAAGAATTGCAAAATGACAAAAATACCCCTACTGTCCAAAAATACAGAAATACATAAAATTCCAATTTTGACTTCAGCTCCTGCATCAACTATATAGGAAAAATCAAATGCTAGTTTCTTTACCAGTTCTCAATCAAAGGGCTCATTAATGGGACTGATTGAAATTAGTCATATATTGGGTGAGTGTTCTTTTACTTCTTGATAGATGATATTCATAGAGGATGGTCAATAACAGCATCAATCCCAATTGGAAGGACTAATAATTAAGTCACCTTGAACACCACCACCTAGGAGCTGGATTAAGGATTTTGATGGATGTAGTCTATGGAATCCTGGTGAATCAGGTATAAGGGTGTATTTAAATATTTCAATTGCAACTCAAAACCCTAGTTCGACCTACCCTTGAGAAACTATTCTTCTCTTCTTCTCTATTGTGTTTTTTCTTGCAAAACATCAGAAAAATGCCACTCTAGGAGTTGGAAGTGCACATCGGCTGGAAACTTGTTGCAGGATCTACCTCACTATTCCACTACACCATCTTCAGTTGGGAGGATGATTTGAGATTGAATTTTGGGCGTGAGCTGCCACTCTAGGAGTTGCATATTGTGGTTTCCATATCAAAATTCAAATATGCTCTTTAATATAATTGAAATCAAATATGATCTGATCCAATCATCCAATGCTGGATCGATCCTAGGAGAATTCGATTCTCAATGTTTGGATTGTCAAAATTTTAAAATTTCAGCCACTAAACCCTAGCAAGGTTCGACCTTTTCTGTGTTTTAACAGTTCAATCAACAATGTCAACTCAAAACAACAATGTCAACTTTGATGGCAGTTACATAGGCAATCAAGCATCAACTGGGATGGAAGGGGTTTTTCGAGATTTAGAAGGGAAGGTGCTAGCCTTATATTCATGACCTGTGGCTAATGGTGATGCACTGATAGTAGAGTTGTTTAGTCTAATCCAGGGACTTAAATTTGCTACACAGTTTGGATTTCATAACCTGGAGGTGGAAGGGGATTAACAAGTGGTTATCTCATGGACAAGTAGTACCCAAGTCCCATGGATTTACAAGCATGCAGTCCAGAAATAGAAACTTTAGCAAGGGAGATGAATGTTTCCTTTAGATGGGTGAGAAGAACAGAAAATGGGATGGCGGATACATTAGCTAAACAAGGGACTGCTAGACAACAAATATTTTGGGCAAAACTCTAAAGTTTTTCTTGGTGGAGAATTTGCCACCTTGATATAATACCTTCAGTTTGAAATTAATAAAATTTCCCCTTATTGATAAAAAAAAAAAAAAGAAACAGTGTAAAAGATATTCTCCCCATGCCAAAACCTGTCCACTTACTCCATGGGCTGGTGAACCAGCAAGTGTGTTAGCAGAACAAAGAATCCAATGGAAGCTTGCACCCAAATCTGCTGCCAACTATCTTTCCTTGATTGATGCTTAAGTTTCCATGGTCCAGCCATTTCGCTTTTCATCCAGGATATGATGATTTTAGAGTTCCCTTCAACCATGATATCCTGAATTCTAGAAGTTGTTGCCAATCTCAGTAGAGAACAAGGTGCAAGAATGAGGTGCACAAGCATGTGTCGACTTCTACTTCTTATCTCCCTTTTTAGGTAAACTAATTCTAATGTAACTAGAATTATCCAAATCTGATTTGATTAGACCTCTAATTATATTAGTTATTAGAGAGATCCATACACAAACCCATATCCATATCCAACCCAAGCACATGACAACTTGTGACTAGTCTAACTAGCTAATGGGTTAAGGCCCATTATTTATGTGATTCACTAACATAACTGTTTCAAGTCTTATTGAGCTTGAATAATGTATGGCATGGGACCCACAAGGTCTTATAATGTTCCATATGAATTTGGCCCATGTAGGGAAAGCGCATGAGCCACCAGGTAAACCTAGTGAACCCCTGAGTCAAACGAAGGGCTTAGTATGGGCCCAACACTTAAGTTTAAGTGACTTGGTTTCGGCCACCCTATGAAGCCCAAGGATAATGGACTAACATAAGAAAAAATTCATCAACCCAAAATAATCAAACACTGCTCACAGGGAAGCACCTCTTCCCTAACTACTTAAGGACACTCTGCTCAAATGGATCCCAGGTATTTGACTTCAGAACAAGTTGAAATCCACTACCCAAACTACTTAGGTTTCCATTAGAGAGTGTTAACATTGATATTCTCTTTGTTTGACAAAGGGGTTGATCCTGTCACAATGATTATCACTTAAGTAGTATTCTAAAACTGCTCCAACATACCCAGGTATTTGACCCTAAGAGTATCTCACTAGTTGGTATATCAAAAGCAGCCCGGTCCAAAACCTAGTGCAATATCATTATCCAGCCTGGGGTTAAGTGCAACTTTCCAATTTTTGCCCCATTTGTCTCCAAGGTCCAAGGCATAACTGGAAATTGGACCTTGTTCAGTGTTTCTCATAAACACCCATTGACTGTACCTTGGACCTAACCCTAGCAACTAAGACAAAATGCCCCACCATTTTAGCAGTACATCAGTGTCAGCCTTGTCAGGATAGACTCCCCAAGTCTATCCAATGGTTGAGAACTTTCTCAACTAACATAAATCCCATAAATGTCCAATTTAAGGGGTAATACATAGAAAACACACCAATCACAAACATGAAATAATAATGATCTGCTTTAATTAATTCATAGAACTCAGTATACATCAATTTCATTGGAGCCAAGGGCATACACTGTATAATAGACATTACCACTTCCTTCCACTTTATCAGTATATCATTTAGTGAGAAATTTTGAAAGTCCTCCATGGACTTTACCAAGTGTACTACTTTTATTTTTACTACTACCAAGATTCCCAATTTTGTCCTACTTTTTCAATGAATATCGTTCCATTTCTTTCTTCTTTCCAAACAGTCCAAATCAAGGTAGTTCTTGCAGATTTCCACATCAACCTTGCTCTTTTTTTTTTTTTGTGGCTATCTCAAGAAGTTTGGATCAAAGAGACCCACCACATCTTGAGGAGTCCACCTGCAAACATTTCTTTATTTTGAGTGTCTTTTAGGAACATAAGGGGTGTAGTGTGTAAGTGTATACCATATAGAGAACATATACCAATACTCTTAATAAAAGCATATTCAGTTGCCAGTGAGAAAAAAGAGATCTTAAGATTGAGTTTAATAGTTTTGTTAGAAAATGTCATGCTTCTGACCTTTAGGCGTCAAATGATAAGTAAATGGGAAGTATTATATTTAGGTTTCATTAAATGTTAAATGTTAAATGCTTTTGTCCAAACTAAGTTTTGGCAATGTGATATGCATTCTTTTAAAGACTATGGAAAGAGATTGTTTGATCTCACCTATCAATGATCTTCAAGCGTCCTCCAGGCAACCACAACCCTATGTCTCCTGTATGCAGCCAATAATCTTCATCAATCATTTCTTGGCTGTCAAAATTCAGAAAATTGTCAAGAGAATCCATTTTTATGAATTTTTAAAGCACAAACAAGAAACAGAAAATTGTTGAGTAAGTACGTTTGCAATTCATCTTTATGGTAGCCTTTGAATACAATAGGACCCCTGACGCAGATTTCGCCTCGAGGATAGGGATGATCATCAGATGTATAWTTCATTTCAGGAACATCCACAAGCTTTACCTCTGAAACAAGAGAAGAGGTCAATTCTTGGTTCTTTATGGAAATGAAATTAGTCAACATTTTCCAGGATTTACTATACTCAGATACACAAATGAATCAATTCATGCAGAGGAAAAAAGTTGAATAAATTACCATGCTCTAACCAATTGTCACACTTAGATTCTTCAGAAGCTTTATAAGGTGCCAGTCATGAGAACACAACATGGTTGTGGGTATGTGATTATGAGCAAACAGCACTTCATCTTTATGGTAGTCTTTTAATCGTATTATGTTATGCCACTTTCAGTTGGTTCATTTGTCCTTTTAGTCTATTATTTCCTAAGTTATTTAAAAGTGTTAGTTTGTCTAATTTTTATTGTGAGTTGTGTTAATTTTCAAAGCATTATAGAAATTCTTATTCTTCAAATAATAAAAGATCTGAATTTCCATTTGACATTGTGCATTCTGATGTGTGGGAATCAGACCATATGCCTTCTATGGGTGATCACAAATATTTTCTCTTGCTTATTGATGCTTTTTCCAGATATACCCTTTTTGAAACATAGGATACATAAGGAATGGAATGGGGGACTAGCGTACCATGAGAGTGAAACAAGTCATGAACAAAACAGCAACAACCAAAGGTACAAACCAAAATAGATAACAATGGAGACTTGGGGAAGAGAATCTGTTGTGAGGCCTTAAATTGAAGGATCTGTGTGGGCATATGATTGATGTTGTAATATGTTATGTACTGCCACAGGATATTTTTGGTATTTTTCCATTCTTTTATTGTAATCTGTCGCCCTAAGTATAAATACTAATTTAGGTGCTGCCTGCCATATAGTTTTGAAAATGAACTCTTTTCTTCTCTTCTCTTTTCTCTTCTCTCTCCTATTCTCCTTTCTTCTCCCTTTTTCTATTTTTCTTTTCTTTCTTCTTTGCTGGACTACATGGTAACAGAGCACTGATCTGGGCTTAGACTTCTCAGATTGAGTTTTTCATCTGAAACTCACCTTTTTTGATTGGAAGAATAGACAAAGCCTCATTGGACTGAACTAGACACATGTTCTATCCTTTTTTTTCCTTTCCTCTCTTGGTCATTGTACCAAGAAGAGGTTCTGTAGTGTTGTGGTCGCAGCCGAATGCAGTTAAATAGCATTCTTTGAGATTACTGCTGTACTCCAGGTATATACTGTTACATTCATATCTCAGTGTGTGATAGCTGTGAATGTCTCAATTTGGCGTTAATAATTTTCATTAAATTATCAAAATGTCTCAATTTGGAGTTGTAGGGGCTGGTTGTCTCCTTGTTATAAGCTGTTGTTCATTTGGCTAGGGTTTTCTGACCTCAGTCCTGTTGAACTAGCTTTTTGAAGCCGCTTTTTATTCAAAGGTGGTTGAAGTTCTGTTGTTCCCTTTGTTTGGAGTGTTGTCCACTGCCCGTGTGGCTAGTTGGACCATTATTTATTCTTGTAACTGTGCTATAGAGGAATAGAACCTCAGTTTCTCAGCTCTTTCTTGGGAAATCAGCAGTGAAACAGTGTCTAATGACTGCTGAAGATTCAACATCCTCCAGTATTACTTCTCCTCAAGCAACCCTTAATGAAGGGATGGATAGCATAAATTTTTCTCTGTCTATCACTCCCTTTGATGGACTAAATTACCTGGAGTGGCCCAAGGGTATTAAACTGTATGTCATGGCTTGGGGAAAGGCTGGTTACATAAATGGTCTTTCCTTTCCAGGAGAGAGAAGAGAGAAGAAAGATAYGAAGAGAAGAGAAGAGAAAAAGTATTTGAGAGTCAAAAACTGAAGCTGGCGGCCCCCAGCTTCCTATTTGTATTAACATGATGTAAAATAAAAGAAACAGAAATTACAAGTATGCCCCTAGTGGCCCACCCTAATAACAAGAACTTACACAAAGAAAAGAACATGCTGACAGCATCCTAGACTGAAAGCACCCTAACAGCAGAAATAAATAAATAAATAAATAAATAAAAAAAAACTAATTCTAACAACACTCCCCCTCACGTTGGGCTGAATATATCTATCATGCCCAACTTGTCACACAACTCATTATGCCGCAAGTATGGAAGCCCTTTTGTGAGAACATCAGCTAGTTGTTCCTTGGAGTTGACATAAGGAGTACAAATTTCTCCCTTCTCCAGTTTCTCTTATGAAGTGCTTGTCCACTTCAATATGCTTGGTCCTATCATGTAGGACAGGATTGCTAGCAATATTTATAGCTGCCTTGTTGTCACAGTAAAGAAACATAGGATTGTGAATAATTATCCCAAGTTCCCCTAGAAGATTCTTCAGCCAAAGTACTTCAGCAACCCCATGTGCCATAGCCCTATACTCCGCTTCAGCACTTGACCTTGCAACTACACTTTGTTTCTTGCTTCTCCATGTCACTAGATTTCCTCCCACAAATGTGCAGTATCCACTTGTGGACTTTCTATCATCCACAACACCTGCCCAATCAGCATCTGTATAGACTTCCACCTTCAGATGAATATGTTTATTGAATAGCAACCCTGTTCCTAGATACTTCTTCAAATACCTAAGAATCCTCTTTGCTGCCTCCATGTGTGGTCTCTTAGGGGAATGCATGAACTAGCTTAGGACCCCAACTGAATAAGCAATGTCTGGACGTGTCATGGACAAATAGAGCAACCTTCCCACTAACCTTTGAAACTGTTTCACATCTTTCAGAGGTTCATCATCACAATCACCCATTTTATGATCTACATCCATAGGAGTATCTATTGGCTTTGCTCCTAACTTGCCTATGTCTTGTAACAGATTAAGGACATACTTCCTTTGAGAAATAAAGATGCCCCTTTTTGAGCAGGCAACATCAATTCCAAGAAAGTACTTTAGTGTACTTTATGAGCTAGGAACGTCTTCAACCTTTGTATTTCTGAGCTCCAGTTTCCTGTAATGATGATATCATCCACATACACTATCAATACAGCAACTTGTTCCTGACATCTCTTCACAAAGAGAGTGTGATCAGACTGACATTACTTGAATCCTACTTGCTGGGCCACCATATGAAATTTACTGAACCACGCCCTGGGAGATTGTTTTAAACCATAGAGAGACTTTCTCAGCTTGCACACCTTATTTTCACTCCCTTTGGCACAAAACCCTGGGGGTTGAACCATGTACACCTCCTCCTCCAAGTCACCATTTAAGAAGGCATTCTTTATATCCAACTGATGTATTTCCCCAATCAAGGTTTGCAGCCAATGATAGAAGAACCCGAATTGAGTTCATCTTAGCTACTGTAGAAAACATCTCATCATAGTCAACACCATAGACTTGACTGTACCCTTTTGCTACCAACCTTGCTTTGTACCTTTCAACTGTCTTGTCCGCCTTGTGTTTCACTGTAAACACCCACTTGGACCCTATTGAGTCCTTCCCCCTTGGAAGATCCACCAACTCCCAAGTCTGGTTCTTATGGAGAGCATTAATCTCCTCCTTCATAGCATCTGTCCATTTAGGGTATTTTAAAGCCTCTGCAACATTTCTAGGTATAGGTATGTTATCAACTGTAGAGTTTGTGATACTGCAATTTAAAGAGTTTGTGATACTACTAATGGAAAGCAGATTGATGGGAAGTTGAGGAACATGCAAAACATTATTCAAGTTAAGTCCATGAGGAAGGGATATTGATCCTTGGCCTGCAATGGAGGAGAATGATCCATCTGCAAGTCTCACCTTATCCCTTCCTGACAAAAGTTTATAAGACTGGAAAAGGTTTGGCTTACCGGTCATGTGGTCGGAGGCCCTGAGTCAATGATCCAAGGGGAATCAAGGGCAGTGGATACATGGAAGGCAGAGGCCACATTACCTGATGTAGACGCAAATGAAGTAGAAGGGGTACCAGTGACTAAACTGTCCATCTGGCGCAAGGCCCTACCATATGGTTCCAAGTGATTTTGGAAGGAATTCATAGTATCTTCCTTGGGGTCAGAACTAGTGAAGTACTCTCGAGCAGTACCAGTCAACACTCCACCAGACTAAGTATCTTGGGTTGCCACATTTGCCACATTATGTACTGTATTAGGTTTCTTTTGACCCAACACCTTACCCTATTCTTGGTTCTTTACAGCCCACTTTGGCCTCCCATAGAGATCCCAACATGTGTCCCATGTATGTCTTGAATGTCGGCAGTGGCTACAGAACAACTAATCCTTATCATCAGTTTGCTTGGAGTCATTTTCCTTTCCCATATTGTTACCACCCATTGCAGCGAATGCCACTTGTTGCTCCCCCTCAGTTGTAACCATCACACTCCTACTTTCCTCAGATTGAACCAGAGCATAAACTTCTTGAACTGAAGGCAACTCTTTACTCCCTAAAATTTGAACTCTAAGAGGCTCATATACGGGGTTTAGTCCCAACAAGAAAGCAAAAACCCGTTGCTGAGAAACCAACTTCTTATAGGCTTTAGCATCATCATCATGTTTCCATTGTATAACTTGATAGTGGTCCAACTCCTTCCATACTGAAGTAAGGGCTGAATAATAGGTTGACAAACTACGGTTCCCCTGTTTACAGGTTGAGGATTCAGCTTGTAACTGGTAAATCTTAGCATGGTGCCTCTGCTCAAAATAAGTGATTTTGGCCTCTTCCCATATTTCACTAGCGGTGTCTGCCCACATAAAGTTCTTCACATCAGGTTCCATGGCTGCCAGAAGCTAGGACATCACCATACTGTTCTCTTGGTCCCACCTATCATGTTAAGCTGTCCCATTCTTGAGTTCTTTCACTCTTCCATTTATGTACCCAGCTTTTCCCCTGGCTGTTATGTAAAGTTTTCAGCTCCCATACCAGCTGTACTACGGGTTGATGTAACCCCAGATGAGGCAGAATCATCATTTTCCATTGACAGAAACAAAGGCTATAAGACAAATCTTAAACCACAGGTGCACAAGACGACTTCAGTTATCATTGGTCTATGCACAACACACATCACCAATCGCAGCACATACCTGTGACAAAAAAGGG